TAGTGCCCAATCACATTGGATGCAGTAGCAGGATAATCCAGACGAATGAGTTAGTCACAAACTCCAATATTTTAACCATAAAACTGTTGATTATTAAACTATAAAACCAACGTTGATGTTAAACAAACAAACTGATGCTCTAAAGATAACACTATGAATACATCAGAACTTTGATTTCAGATTTGGGTTTTTGTTCGACCTGATTTGTTTTGCCCATTTTTCAGCTAAATGCCAGTTGGAGCAGATGCTTCTGTAAACATAAGAGCTCAACCGGACTTTGACTGAGCCACTCTGACACATGCCCTGATCTAGAATATGTATGTTTAGCTTTCCTGCTCTCTTGGAAGGTGAATTTTCTGCTCCCGATTTAAGTCTTCTACCACTAGATTTTATTCAGCGATATTAGAGCAAAGGGGACTGAAAGCACGCACATGCCACACTTTTCAGATTGCCGTTCCAAATCAAGGCGCCACTTTGAGCTGGAGAAGTGAAACGAAACAAATTAAATTAAAGTTTGTGGTTGTAAGGTGACCAAACGTGAAGAAGAGTACGTCTTTTGAATCTTCAAAAGTGTGTATTCAGACAAAAACTCACATGTGAAGGTTAAAATATACAACATGACTTTGAGTTCACCGTCTATACAGTCTCACCGCTCCGTGTTGCTCAGCACGTCATGCAGCGATGCGTGCATCTTTCAGGATGTTGGGGAAAATCGGGTTTCGGCTTACAAAGACCGCCGTCACAGTTAAAACGGGGTTTTTGTTTCCACTGTCGCCTCACGCATCTTCAGGATAAGCGATTGCTTCAACGCCAATCCAGCAGAAGAAACTGTTAGACTGACTAGATATGAACTGGATGTGTTTGTCTTGAGTGAGAGAGAGCTGTTTTCAGCAATCGCTGCTGCATAAATAAGCTGAATTGAATCGGAAGCTGTCCTCTTGTCCAGTGACTGAATTTGACACAAAGAAAAAGTAGAACGAGAAGCATCTAAAATAAACCTTAATTCTGCCCATTCGGCTCATGTAAGGCGTAATTTTCAGACATTCTTCACACTTTTTTATCTTTTTCCCATTACGCGGCATCACACAGAATCTTAAGCATGCACAGACTGATAAGTGGATTTTCAGCTGATTATCTGTTCCATGTGTAATCCATCTTACATAAAATGCTCAGCTTTGCTTTTTTTTTTTTTTTACGATTTTTGTTAAATTGCTTCTGACACTTGACTGCGCTTTCTTAACCTGCGCGGTTAAATCAAACATTCTTTTTTTTCCTTAATTATCACTATAATTTAAGTCTAACTTGTAAACACGGATCCCGGCGCCCCAGAGCTTCCTCCACTCTCCCTCAATAAGTGACCTAAGTGGCCTGGCAGATTAAACGTGTTTAATTAAGAGGTGATTATATGACGGCTGACACAGCAGGATGAGGACGTCTTCATCTGATCCTGCCGGTTGTCACACATGGATAAACAGCCCCCTCCACATGTCTGCCCTGCTTAGCCTTAATTTCACAGCTTCTTCTTCATTTGCTTCCTTATTTAGTATTTTCATTGTTCATTAAAATATGCTCAAATGACCTCCAGGTGCCCTCCAAACACACTTCAAGCCGTAAAAGATGCTTAAAATCCAAATTAAACATAAGTGTATCCATTAGAATATCATTCAAAAAGTCAATTTATTGCAATATTTCAACTTGAAGTGAAAAACTGATACAGAATATTTGATATATTTTAAGGATTTCTGTTTATTTAGCTGATTATGGCTAACAGTTAATATTACATTTAGTTTTTCAGAAGATTACGTCAAAGCAACAAAAATGTTTTTCCAATACGGAAAGTAAATTTATGCACATGAACAGCAAAGTAGATGCGGTGCATATTTGGTCGGGGCTCCTTTTCCATGAATAGCTGCGTTAAAGCAGCTTTCCGAAGCAACATGTCAGCCTGATTTGTTACGCTGAAACCACATAATCTGGTTCAGGCTGAACCACGACTCAAAGCAGCAACGAAAGGCACAAGAAACAACATAAAATCTAAAAGCATAAAGAGCAGAGCGGTGAAGAGACGGATGGGAATGCATCCTTACGGAGCGCAAATGAAAAGATTACGATTCTGTAGCCCAAAAATAGTTTTGCAAATTTCTGAAAATATTTCTGTGCAGTCGCCTCCAGCGAGGCTGCAGTGGTTGGTGACGCGTCTCAGTCGTTTTCACTGCTAGTTGCACGCTTTGTCTTGAGCTGCAGAGGGTTTGGCTCTCAGGGCAACTTGTGCTTAAACCCCAATAATGCAGAACATAGAAGAACAAAACCGATGTTCTTTTACGTGCGACAGGAGAGGTAAGAAGAGCCAAAAGGAAGAATTCAAGAGAAAGAAAGACAGAAAGACAGAAAGAAAGAAAGAAAGAAAGAAAGAAAGAAAGAAAGAAAGAAAGAAAGAAAGAAAGAAAGAAAGAAAGAAAGAAAGAAAGAAAGAAACATAGGAAAGGAAAAGGCAGAACAGAAGAACGAGGGGTGTTAATAAGCAGAGAGAGAAAGAGGTGAAAATAAGGCCAAAATCTTGTTTTAATCATGTGTGGGAGGATGAAAGTGGAAGTTTTTTTTTTTGGTCCTCCTCCCGTCCTGAGCGAAGATAAACATTGTACGCACAAACGCGTGAGTTTGCTAATATGGGAAATAAAGGCTTGGATCATCTACATCTGAACCTGAGCAGAGCAAATAAAACATCACTTTTTTCTCTTAAAGCGACAAAAAAAAAAAAAAAAAGCAGCAGGTTTCTGAGCATCCAGCAGCTTCACTGCTGGCTCAGATGGAAGAAACTCTCGAGTGTGGAGGCGTTTATGTATCTATCACATATTGATACGAGCCAAACTTGTGAAGTGCACAACTGTGAGGCGGCGGCGGCGGCGGCGGCATGGGGTGTTTGTCCTCTGATCACGCCGTCGGGTTTGTTACATACGAGCCGTCGGAAAATAAAGCCCACTAATTTAAGCCTCAATTCGCAGAAGAATCAGGGTGTTATATTGAGCGTGTGTGTGTGTGGTGGTCAAAGCATCAAGAGGAAGATGGAGACAGATGGGTCACACAGTTATCCCTCTGTGGGTCTGGAGCCGGAGCCGCTAATTACATCTTAATTAAATATGACCTGCGTGTCCGTCTCTCCTCCTCAGCCGCAGAAGACGCATCTTTCTCTCTCTCTCTCTCTGCCTCTCTCTCTTTCTCTCTCTCTCTCTCTCTGTGTTTTTGTTTGTTTGTGTGTGAGCGAGTGAACGAGGGGGCAGGAATTGAGAAGTGACGAGTTGGTGTCGAGGGGAGCGTTTCCTAGAATTGTAAACACTTCCGTGCCTTCATGGTGTCCGTGGTGATCAATCATGTAAATAAAGGGCGTCAGAGGGAATAAGCGTCTCTCCTGTCAGCGAGTTGTGACTCTGAGATTATTTAAAGAGCACGCAGTGTCACGCGCCAGAATCCTCCGCAGAGACGCCAACAAATGATCAGATTAGTTACTTTTTGTTTTATTATTGCAGTTCTCCTGCCGTCCACGTAGTTGTTGCTTCGCTGTATGTTCTCCATCAGGTTGATTCATGAACCTTTACCAGCTCAGAAAGCCATTTTGTAGGAAATACACCGCAGCCATGTGTTGTGAAGATGGGAAAAAGATAGATCTTTGTTCTTTCACACACACACACACGCACGCACGCACGCACGCACGCACGCACGCACGCACGCACGCACGCACGCACGCACGCACGCACGCACGCACGCACGCACACGACCTCGTGAAGGTATATTTCTTGAAATCTTTCCCATTACGTCACATTGAAACTACACATTTCTGTGTTTTTGATATCTTTGATGACAAAGTAGTGCAGAACTATGACATGGAAGGAAAATGAAATGCAGTTTTCATTTCGTTTCAATTCAGCTTTCCTTACTCTTTGTTAGAGAACAAAAGCCTGCAGTTTGGCACAAAACTGCTGTGTGAAAATGTACTTTATTTGTTTTCAAGGTCCAGTCAAAACCCATTTGAGAATCTAATTGTTGCTCAGACAAAGTCCAAATGAAGCTGAAGTTGAACGATTTTGCTAAAATTCTGAGCAAAATTTGCCCTGCTATGCGCTGGTTTGTTGCTGAAAATCCTGATAAAATTCCACAAATTTTGTAGTTTCAAGGTGACAAAATGTTTTCAAATCAATTGGGCTACAGATGTCAAAAAGATAATATTGTTGTCTTTGTTTCAGATTTTGAGGTTCCTCTGGAGAAGGATTTAAACTTTTGATGATCATTTCATAATTATGCGTACTACCGTAAAAGGGTTCACAACAATTTAATGATGCCATTGAGATTATGTGCAACTGCCAACAGCGCCATATCTGTGTATCTATGTATTCCACATGTAGGCGGTCCTCTATGGGGGAATTTTCCTTCCATAATGTCTTTTGTTCTCAAAACTTTTAATACTTTTGCTTACATTTTTATTTTGAAAGCAGGACTTGTCTCTGCTTGGATTATCTGCTCGCTTAGGAATTATTCTTTGCTTGCTTTTGGAACAAAAATCAGCCAATGGAATGAAAGTGTTGTACTGGGTGCGTTTGTTTCCTTCTAGCGGATAGTAGCCACACAGGCACACCCGCTAGAAAGAAACAAACACACCCAGTACAACACTTTCATTCTATTGGCTGAGAGGTTGCCAGGCGACGGTGGCAAAAGATGGCTCCAAAAGCAAGCAGAGAATGTTTCATAAGCGAGCAGAGAGTTCTGCAAGAGCGCGAGGAGAAAGGTTTGAGTAAGCATTACAAGTTTTGAGAAGAAAGACATGAAGTCCTGCTTTCAAAATGAAAATGTAAGCAAAAGTATTAAAAGTTTTGAGAACAAAAGACATGTAATCCTGCTTTCAAATTATGGCAGAAAAATTCCCCCATAGTCCACCAGATGTACCACAGCAGTGTGGGCTCTCATCTCCATGACAACCATGTCACAGTGTCACTCGGACATTATCGCTGCAGCACATTTTTTTTACAGACGCTTGCTAATCGTTACTTCCTCGTCTAAAGGAGGCCTGATTGGCATTTAAAAAAAAGAAATGACACGTTCAAAATTTGCTGTGAAAGGAAAAGTAGACGGTGTAAAATTGACAATTCAAAGACGAATGGACGGAGCAACTGCATTCATTCTCCCTCCAACCAGCCCCAGATCGATGTGCCTAATCTGCCAGGAGGCCGTAGCCATGATGGAGGTTTCCAATTTGAAATGGCATAAAGAGACGCAGCAAAGGCGTTTCGAAGAAACATTTCCTCAATGACACAACAGAGAGCGGCATAAAATGTAAAACAGTTCCTCGTTCCTGAGGTGTTGATGTATTTGTTGAACTGAAAAGGAGTTTTTGTGTTATTAGAGCGCCTGCTTATATTTAATGACATGGTTGAGTTATTTTCATTGCAACTCTGTTATGGCATGTAGCATGACAGACTCTGATAGAAGGACTATCAAACCCCAGCCCTACCATTGTTGGTGCGCATGGTTCTGGCCGCGATGCCGTTTGTCCCGATGGGATGATGAATCCCAGCTCCATCCACCACTCCTGCCTCGCCCGGCTGCTTCAGAAGCTCCGTCAGAGTCCTGGAAGAAGCAAGGGAAACGTTTAAGACACATCATCTTGAGGAACGTCTTTGGATTCTTTCCCATTTGAGTGAATTTACACCAAAAAAGAAAAACCGAAAAACAAAAACAAAGCACCACAGGAAGAGAAAAGGAAATGAACTAGGATTGCTTCAACAACAGGACGGGTTGCAATAGGACATAGCAAATTCATGAAAAGAGGAGGGGGAAAAAAAGCAACGTTTTGATGTTGACACATTATGAAACGATACGTTTCAAAAGGATTATTCACATTAATAAAAGAGAGAGGAAACCGCTCGGAACGGAGCATGAGAAACAGGAACGGAGGATGAAAAAGACTAGTCTTTGGTTGCTTGCCAGCAGGGAGTGCCAATCATTTACAGAAAATAAATATATATGTAGGACAACGTCTCCTCTTATCATCTTTTCGAGGTTTGTTTTTTTTTTATTTTTTGAAGCCTTTGAACAAGTTCTGATGGCATCGCAAAACTGGAACACAGGCAGGAAGAGGCCTGCCGATTTAACTCTGTGGGAGTAGAGAAGAACAACGAATAGAATCGCTCTAACTGGACAGAGTAATTATTACTTTAACAATAAAATTAACTCATTATGGATTCTCAGAAAATGTTGAAGAGACGATGAATACGCCAGAAAATAATCTGCTTTGCCTTACAGCGATCAAATTTTTATCAAATATATTTACTTCCATGCTCAGATTAAAAGCAAACAACGGAGCAGAGCAAAAAGATTTGTAATTTTTCCTCACGGCTAAATAAAAAAAAAGAACAAACAAACACAGCTTTATCGAGTTGTTCTTTTGTTAAAAAAAAAAACAAAACGAATACGACAAAGAAAATAAGAAAGCGCCGTCAATCTGTCGACAAGGAAATTATAGCAACACGCCCAGGAAAGCAGCTGTGACCCGAGCGCTGCCATCAAGAGGAGCCGTGAATATTTCCTCGCCGTTAATCTCACAGTTGAGATCGTCAGCAGGCTTTCTAACATGCATTAGAGCAATTCTCTTTTGATTAGCATGCTGTGAAATAGTTGCGTGTGTGCTTATTGGAGCGGTACGGATAAAGACATTAGCACAGCACCGACTTGGAATCAAACGCTGCGGACGGTAAGAAGCCGCGCTACGAGAAAGTGTGTTACAGCAGCTGAAACTAGATATTTACATAAACTGCATAAAAAGCAAATAATCTTTTTTTTTTCTCTTTATTTCACATCAGACTAAAGTTTTCCCAGTTTAGGTTAGTCAAAATTATTCAGTTTTGCTAAATGCCAGGATAAGGACCAAAATATTTACTTTTATATTCTTTAAATGATGATGATGTCATCGCTTTCTAAGCCTCTAATCCACTTGTGTCAAACTCAAGGCCCGTGGGCCAAATCTGGCCCACCGTAGCTTTTTATGTGGCCCTCCAAACTCTAAAAGGAGACATAAATAGATCCGTCTATTAGATATTATTTTATCAATCAATTCAAAGCAGTTTTTATCTGTTTTCTGCCAAATTGCATCAATTAGTCCCTCCAGTTTCTTGTGAATTATCATGGAAATTCACACAAAATCAACAAATTGCTGAACTTTTTCACGCTAATGCATAATTGTGAGTTTAATGCAGATTTTTCACAAAAATTGTGAAAAACATTGGATCTAAGAGATGGTTTACTCCCACCTGCAGGGGGCAGTATTTCTTCTACTAAACAACTGCATCAGCCTTACTTAATGTTGAACTATAATGCATAAAAATGATACAGCAAGTACCAAAAAGTCACATAAGTGCATATGTTTCTAAATTACAGACACTGTTTTATTGCAAATAAAAAAATCACAAAAACAATTGTGAAATCCTGGAGGGACTGAAAAGATGTTCAATATTATTTCATTTTAAGAGTTTATTTATATTTCAACAGTTTAACGGGTTTTATCACCACATTCTGGTGCAACCGGCCCTTTAAGAGAGTTCATGGCCTTGATTTGGCCCAAAAGGAAGATGATTGTGACGCCACTGCTCTAATACGTTAATCCACAACACAAAAGTATCAACTTTTGAACATGTTTCTGTGGTCTGATAAAAAAGGAAGTTGTGAAGTACGAGGGTGGCAGCGTCATGATGTGTCACAGGAGTGACTGGTACGTTTCATAAAACACATGGCGTCATTTTGAAAGAAGATTATTGAAAAACATTAAACAACATCTCAACATCTCTGCCAGAGAGTTCAACTTTGGGCGCGCATGGTTCTTCTAAATGGAAAATGACATAAGCAAAAAACGAAGATGGTTAAAAACCTGACTTAATTAAACTGGTTGTGTGAGGAAGAATGGGCCAAAATTCCAGTAAACTACTGCCTACTGAATGCAAACCAAAAATGTTTGACCCAAGGCATAAATCTTAAAAATGCTCCAGCTAATTATTACATCATTCAAATGCTAGTAGGCATGACTGGTAAAAGAGTTTGTGTGTATAGTGGTATTGACAGATTTGTGATTTTAACACTTGAAAGAGTCAAACAAGTTTCAAACCTTCCCAAGAAAAAGAATAAACTCATGGAGGTCTGTCAAGTCTAAATAAAATCCTCCATCTTCCTTCCCAGACTCCTCTCTTGTTGATTGTCTTCACTCTCTCTCGCTGCTGTATTTTTCTGGCGCTTCTCTGCAGGCATTTTTCATTCCAAGAAATAAAAAAAAAAAAAAAAGAAGAAAGAAACCGACGTCAGTCAGAGTGATGTTGTTTTGGGTTTTTTTTTTGTGCAGCATTAGGAAGGCTGGAATAGACGTGCCCCTGAAACGGATTACGGTAACGCAAGGAAACAAGGGGAGATGAAAATAATGCTCTGACAAAACCTGGGAACCGATGCAGGTCTGGATAAGACTTCATTGCTGGTCTTACTGGATGTTTGGGAGAGATAGGCACGTGTTGTTTGCTAGGCGCAGCAACGTAGAGATTATAGAGAAGATTATTTAAAATAAATAAATAAGTAAAACCCACAAAAATGACGATATGGAAATTAAAAAAAAAAAAAAAAAAAAAAAAAAAAAAACTCCACACATAAATAAAGAAGTAAATGGAGTGGGAATCACTGCAAGATTCTCACGACTCATGTTGGAAGTCATTTTGTCTTCGAAATCAAATATTATGTCACTTCTCATATATGTTTACTTATAGGTAAAATGTATATTTAAAGACAAAAGATTCAAAGGTGACCTATTATGCTTTCTTGAACAGGTTAGGATAGGTCTATGGCCTACACAAAACAAGTTATTACATTTTTTGCAGGAAATCATTTTCAGATAATGAGATTTTAGTCTGGTCTTCTGCCTATTTTGAGCTTTTGTCACTTTAAATCCAAATAAGCTGCTACGGGCCACACCTCCCCAACTCAAAGTTTGCACTTGCACATGAAAATGACTTACAGACAGAAGTGTATTTCTGCAGCCGTACATCTTTGAAAAGCAGAAGTGGAGCCTCCTGCACAACTGACAAGAATGCAGTAAAGTGGTTTCTGAGTGTTAAGTCTTTTCTAGCAGCCATTGTACAGCGAATACAGTGATAAAACCAGCTGAACAAATATGCTGCAGCTCTGCTTGGGTTGCCAGGTGATGGCACAGTGCCCGTCTATTGGGAGGTTTTTGAAACGGCTCGTTTTCCAGACACCAAAACCACGGACTTAGTGCCATTGGAGTGTTTTTGGGTTCATTTTTTAGTACTTTAGTTGTTTTTAGAAGCAGGTGATACCCAAATGGAAGCATAAACACACACAAAGTGTAAATTTTGCACAACAATTCCCCTCCTAGAACCATTTTTACTCTCTGGCTCCTCTACGGTTTTGTGTCGGCGCATACACTACAAACAAGAGTTAACATATTTTGCAGGTAGTCATTGACTGACATTGTGAAAGTGCTATTTTGACTCTGCAATCATTCCCTGCGGTACAGTTTGTCCAAAGTGTCTCCACTGGAGTACTGCCAGCAACGACTCAAATCCATATTTTATAGCCGAAAAACAAACATAACAGGTTTGGAAAATCTAATCTAAAAGGTATTTCTTTTTCCTCCCTTGACATTCTGCTCACAGTTTAAGAGCCATTAGAGCAGCCCTCAGCTGCTCCAGCCGAGGTGCACAACCACCGGCGGGACTCGGCTTATCGCTGGGAATAAAAACGGGAACACTGCTGGAAATCACAGAACTCAGCAGAACTTCTCTCACGCGAATTAACATTCGGGAGAACATTTATTAGAAATCAAAGCTCCGCTGGGGTCACAAGAACAGACCTGAAAAAAATATGCAAAAGGTAACTTTGGGAGCAGGTGAAATCAGCAAGGGAAAATTGCTACAACAGGGATTGTCCAACTGTAGAGGAATTAGAGTATTGACTCACCGCACGGTATGAACGCCCCTCAAATATCTACATAAACTGGATAAAATATCCCACAGGACTGCCACATGTACCAGGCCATACATTGTTCTCCTTCTCAGTTACCTTGCTAATGCTTGTATGTTGACTACATTAGCTAACAGCAATTTAAATGCTAATGTTTATTGGATAAATTAACATTAAGGGAAAACAATTATATAAAAAAATCAAAGTACTAATTGGAGGAACTGCAACACAGCCTTCTAAGAACAACATAGAGCAACAATTTCCTTAAGCTAATATGTTAATATTTGCATGTTGTAAGTACCCATAAAACACATCCACACAACCCAGATAATGACTGAACAAACAATTTCCTCTACATTCCCCCCTTTTAACCAGTCCATTTTCTCATTTATTAGCACAAATATGCTAATATTAGCATGCTAGCTGCCATTAGCTAGTAGCAGCGTGTACGTTAATAGCAAAATGTCTGTTGGGTAATGAGTATCTGGGAAAACAAGCAGGCTAAGTGACTGCCCATGACGCATTTAAAAACACCACATAAAATACGGAAAAATAAAGTAAAAAAAAAAAAAAAAACAACTTTAGAAATATGAATGATGCAATTTCAGGCAAAA